TTCCTGTCCAAAAAATTCCCATTACCCACCACCAGCTCAGTCCTGGCCAAAGAATTTTTCTTCTTAAGAGAAATAAGGGCAGAAGAGCATTGCTTGTGTGTCAAGCAGCTTCTCCTGCTCTCCAGTCCAGTGGGAATTTGGGACTCTTGAATCTTGCCCTGAGTTGTGTTTGCAGTTAGGCAAGTTTAAGTCACTCTTTAATTTGGAATCCTTTAGATTTTTGTTGGTACAGCTGTGCAGTACAAAACTGAACTTTGTGTATTTTCCCTCTACCTGTTATGTGTGCACATTACAGTGCCACTGGGCTCATCCAGGACTTCTCTCCATGAACTCCTGCTACGCTTTTCGAAAGTTACAAAAATATGTTTTGGTGCTAAGTCTCCTGAACAGAAGTCTGGAGCAATTTCTCTTCTTAAAGGGACAGACGATGGAACAGGCTCCCTTTTTAGGGAATTGTACTTTCAGGCATTATGTTATTTCTTTAAACCAAGACATCAGCTTCCCAGAGTAGCTGCATTCGCTGAAATTGGTCAAAAGAGCATAGTCTGAAACCATTCACAAATACTGGGTTGTTGGTTTGGTTTTTTTTATAGTACCCCCATTGCCTTGTATTTTTAGAGTACCACCTATGTTTACTTTCAGTTAACAATGAGAATTTTTGTGTATCAAAAAATATACTACAAAACCTTGATCTATATCAAAACTTGTATTTTTCTTTGGGTCCAAACCAATAGCCATCACCAGTTAACCTTGCCTTTTGAACCAGGTTTCAGTAACTGTTTGAAAGTTAATTATAGTTTTCAGAATGTGAACGGTTTTCATATTATTGAGAGTATTCTTTTTAAAAACTGGCACAATGGAGAATTATATATATCATTCAAGATAGTCAGCCCTGCATACCCACAGCCTGCTAGTTTTTGTGTATTTTGAAATGATCATTTATGAAAGTTGAGCCTTAGCGCGCTGTGGCTCTGTGCTGTAGACAAGTAAGAGCTACATTTTTTTATAATTCTGATTTGGTCTAGTGCAAACACGTTAAAATCCTGAACTGTGCAGTGAATTAGCATTAGGTGAACAATTCCATTAATTTTTTCATATACATAAAAGTGCAGTTTAGGTGACAAATTCTGTATACTTGTTTCTTCTCAGTATATGGCACCATGTTTCACTGCCTCTTCCCTCCTCCCTGTTTCCCACAGGCTGTCTTTAAGAAGACAGTAAATAGGAATATGTACAGCATGAACCTAAGTTATATGAATATATGAGGGCAAAATTGTAAGAGGGCCCCATTCCTTTAGTGACCATTTATGCTCAGATTATTTTGGGTTCCCTGGGGATTTAATTTTATAAGTATTGTAATGCAGTAGTAAAACTCATCTAAGAATGGACTCTACCTTTTGAAGTATGCCTTTTAACAAAGGCATCAGTGATTAAGGTCTAAAATTGGAGTAACATAATTTTCTGTAGATGGGATAATAATTACCTAAATTTGGGAAGGAAGATCTGGACTTCAAAACATCTACTGATTTCTGTGTTTCCAGATGAGAAATGAGAACCCTCTTGTATCAGCCTCTACTTCCCAATATACTGAGCTATAAAAAAACAGACCAAGCTGGAAGTTTCTTCCTGTGATAGTCAGCCTACTGCAATAACCAATAGGTTATCAGTTAGACATTGGATTTCATCCAGGCCATTGTGGAATAATGTCTGTTTAATGGACATGGAAAATTTGGGGATCCTTGGGATTTTTTCCTCAGAGCATGGACTAGCTGTTTTAGGCATTGACTGCTGTAAATTCTCTTTTTTTATTGAAGAAAATACCTGGATTCCTTGTAATATGTAAAAGTATTTTTACTGCAGTATGGACTCATTTATGAGATGAGGCTTTTTAACCAAAATGGACTAAATCCTGTCTTCATTGCCAATTTCCCCAGTTAAGTCTACAGATATCTAAATTCCCTTCTCATCCCATTATCAGAGGATGAGAAGGCTGGGAATTTTCAAGGAAACCTTCCCAGAATTCTCAATCCAGTGAGTTTCTCCAGTGTTATGGGAACATTTTTCACTCACTTTATAGCATAGTTAAATGTTAAGGAAGTTCTAACATCCTCATTTACCTATTTTGTCAAGCTAGAGGTTCAGTATTTTTGTGCCTAATGTATTGCAGTCTTTCAGTAGAAGATGTTAAAGTACATTGATAAGTATTAAACTGCAGAACACACCACATACTTTTATTTCAATTTTACAGAAGAGAAAACAAACAATCAGTGAAATTTGCACAAAGCATTCAAATAAAAATGCCCGAATGCCACATATTAGATACGTTAGTTGGTATTCTTCTATTTGGGAGAGTTTTCAATAATGTATCCGTAAATGTTCTGGGCAAAGGTAAGGGAACACCAACAGCAATGAAAATATTTCAGAATTGTATTTCATAGAGTTTATGGTATTTGTTTATATTTTGCTTTTTTATCTAAAAATTCATCTGTTCTATTTTTCGTGCAATTCAACTTAATTATCCTTCACAGATTTCCAAGATACATTACACTCCGTTTATTTGTTATACTACTGACCATGATTAATGACCAACCACAATTTGAATATCCCATTTTTAGCAATCATGATAAATTGTAGCCCATCATGGCAATTTAGTATGCTTATCATGCAAGATCTAAGTGAAAAAACTTATAATTAGGAAGCACATCTTAGCTGGGAAGCACAAGAATAGTTTGCCATTATAAAAGTTGCAGCTGAAAGGATTTTATAGCACATCAACCTGGCTGTTCTGTTCAATTCTGATGGGAATATAGGTCATGAACTTTACCACTGTCCATCTCATACTGAAGGAGGGCCTTCCTGACTCAGGAAGCAGGTCAGATAAAAGAGCCATTCAGGAGGTAAGGTGAAACTTAAAGATTCCTTGTGTGGTCTAGATTATATGAGATGCATCACAGTCACACTGCTCTTTGGCGATGGCTGTGTACGATACAGTGGTACACTGCCCATTGCATGTCACAACTCCACATCATAACGGTGACAAGCATCGTTCCTCATTTTTCCTCATTTTTTTTACACACAGGAAAGCTGTGGGCACTTGGGCTACAGCGCCTCCAAACATAGTCTAAACTTAGCCTTTCTGAATGTCACATTTAGTATGACACATTTTCGTGCTTAGTTTCTTCCTACTCTGACGTGTTCCCTGGTCATCCTGTCTTTCATCACCCCCTGGGTGACAGCAGAAGCTGACAGCACAGAAACATCAATCTCAGTCCTATATCACCTGTAGCTGCACTTAGGGTAGAGTGAATGTTTAGCAGATCCCTTGTGGTTTACCACTTGGTTTTAGTTTTTAAACAACACCAAGTAAACACAGTAATGAAGATATTAATTCATATTTTTAGTGATTTTTTTTAAACTACTACTATTACATTTATGGCTTCTCTGAATATGTTTGTCAAATCATACCTGAATTATCATCCTGCACTTGTAAAAATGTTATTTTGGAATGGTCAGTGAGTTTGTAGTTCACATGAAATAACATCATGCACCCTAATGACTCAAGAGAAGCATGATCAGCAATCAGTAAAATTGAAATTAAGTTTTTCCTTGGCTATAAGCATAATAAATCAACATACAGGATTTTTAAAATTCAGCGTTAAGTCTACAGTCAGTAGAAGTTATTGGACATTGGTCAGTGTAGTTCTTTAAGACAGGTCACTTTCCTTCCTTACCTTGACAGAGCCAAGGCAAGAAAAATCATAATATTCCTTCATCACAGAAGAGAGAATTCTATGAAGGTGGGAAGAAGCTGGAGAGAAAGAAGAGTTGGACCTCTCTTCTGTCAATGCCAAAACAGAACTCTATCAGGGTAAGCTTTTCTTGATTTAGGAGGGTCAGTATGCTTAATTACAAAGAAAGAGATGCCAGAAATTGCAAAAGTCCTCTAAAAAGCTATTTTAATAAAAGTGACTTGAGAGAATATCTTGCAGTAGACACAATTTGATCACAAAACCACATGAGTTAACAAAGAATAATTTAAATGTTAAGAAATGGTTTTCCAATGGATCTTGCGCACTGAGATGCAGAAAGCTCAAAACTCAGATATATTCTTTTTAAAGACTCATTTATAGGGTCATTTTTAAAAAATACCATTTCAATGCCATCAAAGTTTTTTTGATGTTTTATTATCATGATGTTGAATTTGCACTACTCTTAGAACTTTAACTACAGTGCTAAATTGCAGCAATACCCATTACATACATCCTAATTGAAGCTACATCATATGTCTGATGTGTCAGTACTATTTGCTACTAGTTCTAACCTGCATTAGTAGAGTGTTAAATAGAGACTTAAGAACAAAGGAAGGGATAAGCACGTTTGTGAAACTTCTCATATGTAAACTATTCCTAGAATGAGAAAGAGCACTGACTCTATTTCTTGTCCATTTTATTTTATTTACTATATACTGTCTCAGTTTAATGAGACTGAAGTGTTTTGCTAAGAAGGATGACCAAGTTCGTCCCTCTAAGCAATTGCAAATCCAAAATTAAGAGGCTCCAATTGAGGAAGTATGGAGAAAGAAAAGGTAACAACCCCTTAATAAAGGATATATGTGTATTGGCAGAACAACAAAAGAACACAAAAACAACTAAACAACAATCCTGTACCCAAAAATCCCCTTCAAAAAGGAAACAGTTCAGTACTTTCCACCTTTTGGCGCAATTCTAACCACGGTCAGCAGGGGGCGCTGTTGGGCCACTGGCTGTGGGGCCCTGGTGCGCTGGAGAAGCCAAAATGGAGATCTGCCCCCCCAGAGAGAAGGGGAAGGGGGAAAAGGGGCTCTTTCCACAGACTAATACTGTTGGTGACTGGCTCTGGCAGGGACTCCCCCAAAGGTTCCTCTGCAGATGGGTCAAGCCTCTCCGATGAAATGTGAACAAGTCCGGGCTGGGGGCAGAACAGGGCGCAGGAGAATGGAGGGGAACCGGGGCCAGAAGCAGCCAGATGACCCGGCCGAAAAACAAAAAGAACCACACAAACACCCTCTCTGAGGTAGGGCAAAAGTGGAGTGACTGCTGTTTCCCGAGGAGAGGAAAAAAAGACTCATCAACTCCCTCCCATAGTCTTCTGAGGGCTCTCAGCCTGGAATGTGGGTCTGTTAGCCAGTTCTTTCGTGTGCGTCAATCACCCTGGGCAAACACCCTCCCCCTCCCTCGTTCAACATCTTTCTTTCACAGTGATGTAGGGGAAAGAAAAAAAATTCCCAGTTCAGGTTTTTTAGAACAAGTAAACCCATGACATATGCAAGATGACATAACGTTTCAATAATCAAAATTCACATTTTCTGGATCCTTATATCAGTATATTTACTAATAATGTACTTAAAGCTCTTCTTATTTATTGTATTTGCCTTATGTTTTAAGGGTCCTTAAAATGTTTGGAATGAATGTTAAACTGTAATTTGTCCTCCTAGGTTTGACTATCAACTAGCTGACATTTTGCTGTATCAGAATATGTGTTTCTTTTTTTTTTTCTTGGATTATTGAAATAGATCTTTTCATAGCCACTTGTCACATGTCTGAAGGATGTCACCTTTAACCACTGCAGTTTAGAGTGGCCAGCACTCAGAGCCACATAGAAAAATCTGCAGAATCCTGAAATTTGCAGATTTTGTGTGTATCTCAGAAGGTGGAGGACTGGGCTTTAGTTTCACGAGTTCAAGGCAGGACCACCAAGCTCTGGGACCACTCTGCTTCCTTCTGAGGTAAAGTTGGGAGTTCAGCTGGCTGCCCGCACACCAATACCATTACTGCCAGTGAAGAATTCAGATTTTTCTAGCTACCTCTGTCTATAAGTGGTCCTACAGCCTACCTCCCGAATGGCAGCTCCATTTGAATGCCTCAAGAGTTGTGTTTAGTTAAAGGGCTACTCCTTGGGACATAATTTTTATAAGCAAAAATACCATATCAACTTCCATACGAGAAGTTTACATACTAAGCACTGAGTTTATGAAAAGTAAATTAATGCTACAAGTCTGATCCTTCAGATATGGTAAACACTGTAGTAATCAAGATAACCTGCAATTTGCTTGCTGACTAAACTTGCTGTCAGAAGGAAGTTCTTTGGCCACACAGATGGGCTGGGTTTCTTACCCAGGTACAACAGACATTTATTGTCTCCTCTTTAAGGTGAACCACATAAGGATGTGGTTTATCTCTTTCTCTTAGTATGGTTATCAGGTATTTGATGTCAATTAGGGATTCTTTCTTTTTTTTCTTCTTGCGGCTATTTCACCTTTTATCTTTAAAAATGAAACATGAAACTAGTGTATCTTTGTCACTTAGCAACCATTTTTAAAAGTAAAGATTTTTTTTTTTTTTAAATCTTTGGTATAACTTATAGCAAGGGTAGGTCAGTGGTGTGGGCCACACAGGACAGTTTTTATAACTGACCCTTTAATTTCCTCATTCTAATTTCAATTTTGCAGACTGAACTTTATTTTGTTGCTTAGTCTTTTAGAGACTCTGTTCTAGGTCCAGAAATCTTTACTGATTTTTGGACTTTTAAATATGGTATGATTCCCCATAAAATTTAATATCTGTTCAGGAGAGCCTTAAAATATCCAAGCAGAACTTCTATAGACATTATCTGGAGGGATAAGAGATTTCATCTTTGAACTAGGCACAAGAATGGATCACCTTTCAGGATTTTAAATGAAGCAACATGCAGAAGAAAGACCCAATCAATGAGTTGTTTAATCAGCTGGAGGTGTAGTGATGAATACCAGGGTTTCTGTTACTAACTTACATCATTATTAGTATTATTTTCTTTTTTTCTTTTTTCTTACCTTTTACTAACTATGAAGGATTTTGTGATATTTTCCTTGAAAAGCACTTCTCTCCAGACCACAAAACTGCTGCTTGGTCAGATAGTGAAATCAGAAGGAATAGTGTATTATGACAAAGAAGAAGAATTTTGGATGTTAATTTCTAAAAGATTTCCTCTCCTAGTATTTATAATACTCTCTCCATTTCCCTCTTTATCACTGCCTATATTTTGAAAAAATTGTTTAGTTCTTTTATTTTCACTTCTATTTCACTTTTATTAATGTTCATTTTAAAGGAGATTTAATTATTTTTTACTCCCATTGTTAAAAATTTTACAGTTTTTCAGACAAAATGAACTAGGAGAACTCTATTTTTACTAGCATATGAAATCAAAATCAGTGGCCATAGAGATGACAAAGGCATCTTGTTCAGTAACATGGAAGACTATGCAAAGGCAAAATTATTAAATTAATGTCAGATTTAATAATTGAAATGCCAGAAACAAGAAAAACATAGGCCTATTGAAAACTAGAGAATCTGAAATATGTTTTGCTAATTATTTAGCCAAAACCTATGATATCTGTCATGCATCTGGAAACCACAATTGGCATGTATTTAACTTTTTCCTTCTATCTGCCTCAGGATTGCTTTTTCAGAATTTTTACTGATACTTTAATGAAAATGCAGATTGAACATCCCAGTTGACATTCCAGGTCCATATTAAATGCAAATGGGAAAATAATGAAAGTGAATTTGGTATGATTAATGAACAAAAGTCTCTAGCCACTTTTCCCCTTTTCCCCTTTCCCCCTTTCCTTTAGTAATTACTGTACCTAATAACATATGACCATTAAATTGAGACTTCATGCTTTCTGACATTTTTTCAGAAGTCGTCTATACTTTAAATATTATGAACATGTTAATGTAAATTAAAATTGTGTATTTTTATTAGAAATACAGTACTAGAACCAGATGTATTTAACCTTAGCCTCAGTCACTCTTATGACAGAATTCCTGGTTCAGCTTTGATTTTCTTTGGCCTTATCTCCTCTTGACCTAAGTTTGACCCTGAGAAATAGGACTGTTCAGAAAAGTGTATATTGAAGACATTCTGATGTATCTTGTGTGACTTTGGTAAATAACACCAGAAATACTATAAACCTTGGCTCCACCAGGAAGAAAACAGTGGTAAACTAAATAAAATGCTTACCCACAGTTTCTTTGTATGCCTGGACAGATTTTCATTTCTTCAGCTCTATCTTTGCAGTGTAAGGTTATTTTACAGAATTATTGTGTATTATGACTCAGTTGCATTTTCCAAATTGTGACCATCCTCATTTAAACATTCATCATAATAAGTGATGTTCAAAGGGCCAGACCAACTGTTTCAAATATTTTCAAGTTTACTCCCTAATTTGGATCATTTGCTAGATACCTATGGTCAGTAGACAGTGAAAGAGAGAAGGAACTGTGTAAGATGAACAACAGAACTGTTGGATTTGTCATTTCACAACTTACTGTGCAGCTGTTGCATGTTTCTGTGATTGAGTATATGTGAAGCAACTGCAAGAGAGTCAGGCTGATGCTTTCCTGCAAGGAGATAAAGATATTCTTGCTGGAAAATACTGCAGAGTTCACTGGAGACAGTGAGACACTCTGGGAGGGAGAATGGCAAGTAGAGATCCTGCAGCATAATTGCATGCTGTTGAATGACAAAGTTGAGCTGTCTCAGTGTCAAACCTAACACAAGAGGGGATGTGATTCCTGGAGATGTAGGAAAAGTTATGTAGAGTTTACTTCTTTCAGAATACCTCTGAAAAGTGGTTTTCTTGCTGAGGGGCTGCTGTTGTCTGATGATATCTGCCATGGATGAAATATTCATGACATTCAAGTGTATCTGTCATGCTCAAGTCCCTGATTGCATCATACCTGTGTCCCCATCCATGCTTGCACCACAAGGTCGGTTCAACCCAGTAGAGCATGAAAAGTGCAGTTAAAATACAGTGTGAATTTTATTTGGCATTTGTTTTACATCAGATGTGCATGACTCCACATACTGAAAATCTGATGCTTTTAAGGAAGGTACTGATTGCCAATCTTTTGAAAAATGAGACCCTTCCTAACCTTTTAGTAATTACCCAAAATGTAAGCTACTTTCCTATTGCCTTCTCTCTAAATGTGATTCATTTCTTCTACCTTACTGATTGAATATGCTGATCTTTCTCAAGCTGAATACGATCAAGAGAACAAGGCCTTGTTTACAAATTAACTTGGAAATACCATGAAATATATATGTTTGATTATTTTTTTTTCTTTTTCAGATAACCACTATTACATTCAAAGTGAGACATCTAAGTATTTGAAATGACATATGGAAATCAAAGCCCCCATGGAGCACTCCGCCTGCAGAAGTGGTTCCAACACTGGAACAAAGTGACATTACAAAACAGAATTGGGCCATTTGGTAGATCAGTAGTTTTTCCCATAGGTGAGAATACATATTTCAGCATCTCTGCTTGACCAGATATTTCAAGTCTGGAGTTAGAGCCATTTCATCTACAGAGTCTCATGTGACATCCCCATGTAATTGGTATCTAGTGTTGTGGACTGGCCAACATCTTTGTATACAGTGTATCCCTTTTCTCAAAGTCTAAGTCTTTCCATTTTGAAAAAGCTGCATTAATGAGATATGAGATTAAGGTTAGCAAGCACATTAAACTTAAATTTAAAATCGGTTTTGCCTGGAATAATAAATATTTAGTGCCTTAGACAAAGTACCACAAATTTCTTTTAAATATTCTCTTTTGTATGTAATGATGTGACTTCGAATTTGCTTTTTAAGAAATACTCATCATGAATATAAAGTGTTCATCTTCAAACATCATCACAAAAAGGATCCATTATTTCAATAGGTTTTCTGTCTTTCAGCCATGCTTTCTGGTTATTTTTAATGCTTAATCCATCATTTTGTGACCTTCACCATGGGAAAGGTAAATGTAAATCTTTCCAATAACAAAGAAACAAATGGAATGAAAACAAAGACTGGTTTGTTTTGACAGAAACACTAAAAATTAAAACACAGGATGCAAGGTAAAGCTCTGCTCCTCAGAAGGTTGTCTGCTGACTTCATAGCAATTATTCATTTTGTACGCTTATATTTGAGTATAGGTAAACAAGACTACCTTCAGATTTTTAAACTGTGTCAAGGGAAATGTTGCAAACCCATATGAAAATTGTGATTTGTTGTTTTTGGTATATCCTTAACCCAATGTGTATTTTTTTGCAGTGCAAGCAGAAGCAGATGATCATAGGGGTGTGAGAAGGGAAAGACCCTCAGTCATCTCAACAATCCACCTCAACAGTCTCAACAAGATGAGGCACTACTCCATTTTGCTGTGTTCATCTTAGGCCTCCATACTGCCTTCTGTAATTGTATTTTTTGCTGCTTTTTCTCTGTCCTCCCCACTTTGCAAGGTAAGAAATGTCAGATGTCTTACACAGCCTCTGAAACTGATGGAACCAGTTTCATTAGGCCTGTCCTGCCAGGGATAAGAGATGCGGAACTGAGGACAGGAGGTTGGGCCTGCATGAGGGTTTTTAAGGGCTAATAATTTGTTGTTTGAGTTCTCTCAAGTGATACAGTCTCTGTATTTCATTCCCACACATACTCTAATTATTGCTGACAATTGAGTGGCAAATTGCCTGACATAAATGAGATGTTATCCTTATGGCAAAGCTGGAAAACAGGTGTTTCCTTTTTCCCCTTCTGCCTGGCATCCAGGAAATGTAACAAAGGCTTTTTAGCTACAAATATACTTTTGGTAGGTTTTGTCTGGTTGCTGGACTTCTAAATCGCTGAATGTCTTGGCTACTGCACGGTGAGGACACGTGCTTCTACAATTTCCAGGGCAGTAAAACATGCATGTGATTTTCAGACTAAAGCTACTCCCGTTTTTGGTGAGAGCTGGATTCTGGTTTTTCTGCACTGACCTTGGCCAATCATGTTTAGAAAGGATGAGCTGCCCACACTCGTACTCTAGCCATATGTGATGGTGAGCGATATTTGAAAATGATGATGCACCAGCATTGTCCCAATTAGATAATACTTTCTAAATTATTAGAAATAATTGGACATTATTTGTTTTTTCTACATATGAAAATGGAAACATGAAATGATTTTTCAGATAAAATCTAGGACAGCATTTATTTTTTTTTTTTTTTTTTTTTACCTGTCAGAAATGTTTTCTTCTGGCTTTGCTTTAGATCTTGTAACTTTGCCATTCAGTACCTGTATTGGTCTCTGATGGGGGTGCAGAAAGAGTGTGACCATTATCTCATATTCACAGCAGACTTATTTCACTGAAATAGCTTCAGTTACAGAGTAAATCTTTCTTTGTGCTCAGCTTTGTAGAGCACTCGGGGACTCATACCAGTCCTTAATCATAAATAAGGAATTACTTGTTAATCCTATTATGCTTGATTTTGTTCTTATCTCCAGTTTATTGAATTAGTTGCAGTTAGTCCTAATAAGAAAACTGATAGAAAAACTGGTAAAAGTGAGAAGCCTGTTGGCTTTATTGTGTCTGTGTTTGAGTGACATTAATTTATAGCAAGAGGCATGTTTCTTAGCAAGTTTGCTCTATAAAAGGAATTCTCTTTGACTAACAGGAATAAATTCATTTAGTTTTAGATCTGTGAACGTGCTGATGTTTCAGATAAAATTTCCTCAGTGTACTCTGCTAACACCGAATTCAGGCTGAGACTACATAATATACATTTTGTCTAAAATAAGATCAAAGAAATGGCATCACAAAAGCCAAAACTGTTGTCACAGAAGTTTATATGATCTGTATTACTTTTGTAACTAGGGAAAACAAGAAAAGAGTTGCAGAAGTAGTTGTATAGTATCTATTATTTATAACGTTCTTACAGAAATGTTCATTCTGATATTCACCTTTTTTTCCCCAGAGGATACAATGTGACCTTTGTGGAAGTTCATGTCACAATTAATGTTACAGAAGGCTTTCTAGTGCCTGTTCCCTGATTCTTACACTATCTCATTTTAACATATTAATGTGATAGGATACAAAAAATTCAATATCTATATATTTCCAAAAGTATCTTCTTAATATAATAAGTGGACTTGGTTTCCTGTTACTTATTTTTTACATCTCCCTAAAATGTCAGTTGCCATAACAGCAAATGCCACTTTAAGTATCTATTTCTTTAGGTAATTTCCTTTCTCTTTCTGGATATACACTACCACTTTTTTCTCTGAAGACTACTGCAGGTGGAAATGAGATGACATGGTGGTTTGTCTCAGGCGGAAATTAGATGATGTTGTGACTCTTACTACTCATATGGATTCAGACTAGGAGTTAATCACTCATATGTTTTCTGAAAATTCTAAGGAAAATTCTAGGAAATTTCTAAGTCCAAATTATGTATTAATAAAATTAAAAAAGAAAGGGGGAGGAGAGCTAGGTTGAAACAGGTATTTTGTGACACTTCACTGAGTAGATAGTAATCTGAAAGAGGAGGAAAAAAAGAAATCAGTTAAATGTCAAATAGAGACTTCAGATAGAAAATTAGAATAGACACAACTGTTGGGAGAAAAAACCCACCAAACATAAAACACTTAAACACTTAAAATACAAACATATTTCTACCTACACAGTTAGTTATGTGTGAAAGTTCTGCTGAAAATACTATACTCACTATTTTCCCTATTTGTTGAAGTGAAATATCTTGTAATAGAGGAAAGTCTGGTTAAAAATTGCTTGAATGAGTCTGGTTTAGCTCTCATGGAATTATATTAGGTTTACTCACAGAGGCATTGATAATATCTCAGCTATTGGAAACATACCTTTTCAGATTTTAAAAGTTCCATCTTCATTTGCCATACTGCTGTCTCTCCAGTATCAGCTCCTATATTCAGCAATTTTCAAACAATAAATGGAATTGGTATACACTAATTAGACCTTTTTATATCTGATATTTTTAAGAGGATGATCCAATCAGTGTTTTTAAAGGTCCTGGTACATCAAGAGCTCAAGACTTTTGTACAGAACTGTAGCTTAATATGGTCTGCCTTTTGACAGCAATTCAGTGATACTAGGCTGCAAGTGGAAGGCACCAAATTTGATAGATGCTTTCCATGTTTAGCCAGATGTGTACAAATTAGAGCAGGTGGTTGTATTCAAGTTGAATAAAAATTGTTTTGTATAAAGGTGAAATTTACTTAACCAACATAAATCATAAGAATCAAGCTATGGATGGATGAAGGCTGGATCCCATGAAGTGCATGACCTTGCCTCTACATTGGGTCTACCTCATAATAATGTCACAATCACTCCATATTACCAGAGAAATAAGCCCAAAGCAGGATCTTGAATGATCTGGTTGGGACTGTATGAGGCTTCAATAATTCTCAGCAGGCCTGGTCCTGTCCTCTCATACTTGACAAGTCATCTGGAAAATACCTCATAATGATCAAGGGATGTGAGAGTAACAGAACTTAATTCCCAAGAAACCATTGAAGTATTATTTTAAGTAGTGTCCTTTGTACTTTCAATTATCATTGTTACCACCCCATAGACTATAAAAATCAGAGAAAGAAACCCATTTGGTATCTCTCATGTATGTTCTGCAGATTACATTATTGACCACTAATTCATTCACTTGGATTCATCATTATCCAAAGAGCTGCCATTTTTCTTTCTGATTTTACTTCTTTTTGATACATTTATTTGGCACTAAAGAAGAATTTACTGAAATCTGATCCTTCTTTTGATTTTTTACAATGATAGCCTCAATTGAGATATCAGAATTTTTCCTTTTTCCTTTCCTTCTTCTGACATAAACTCTCTACCATTATATATTTTGTCGTCAGCAGCAGAATGTTTGGCAATATTGATTTATCTATTTCATATTATACTAAATCACTTCTAGCTGAGTTAACAAGGTATCTCTCTGTGATTTCGATGAATTAAAGTACATTTCAAATCTTATTTGCGAAGTAAGAGTCTCTGAGTTCTGAAGGGCCAAATGTTAGAGAAAGACGCTGTAGCACAGTTCGTAGGCAGAAGTGTTCACATTATAGTTTGCAGTCACCATGCAAAGGAGGTATGTAGAGATGAGTTTGGGTAACTTGTGTAATACTTGTACATTTATGAATATACTAACTTCAAGTTGAGTTATTTAGCAAGATATTGCATTGCTACATCTTTTTGGTGCTTTACCATGGAATATCAGGCATATTTTATTTGAACTTTATGATTCAGTAGTTGCTATACTGCATAGGACATTATATCAGTCAAAACCACAGTTAAATACTTAATAGTATGGTATTTTAAAAATTAAAATTAGTTTCTTTTCATTCTCTATATTTTCAAAAGGATTTTTCAAAGGATTTTTTATGATTCACCTTCATTATTTTCTGTTTGGGTCATGCCTTTTGAGGTAACAGTTCAATTCCTGCAGGGCTACATGTAAAAGACTGCCATTATTTGCAATGGATCATTTAATTAAGCTACCACAGTGTCTGTAAGCAAAATTAATCACTGTAGTTATAGTGCTTGTATGAGTCACAATTACTAGGCAAATAGGTTACTGTCCAATAGAATTGCTGTAATCCAACTGTACATAGCCTTGTAGAATTTAGAGACAAGCTCTGTTTACTCTTAATTGTACCTAATGCCATTTACTCCAGCTAGGCTATAGCCTTTGTTGCTACTAATTTATTTATGTAGTGGGTAAAATGCTTTATTTTAATACCAGTGTGTGACCCTATCTGAGAGGAAACTGCCTATGACTGGAGGGAATAACTACAGAAAAATATATCAATTAAAATAAGTTTTATTAAACTATATTTGTATCATGAACACGGTAACCAAAACCTCCAAAGATCTGATCTATATGCTTGGCCTTGGGGCACTTAATAAAAGCTTAATAGAACATCTTCAGTGACTCATACATTATGTAGCAATTGAATCATCCGGAAAACAAAGAATATTGATCCTTCATGTCAGATATCTGGAGGACAGATTCTAAAAAAATACTATGTTTCATTTGATATGGTAAAATCAGATTTGTTATCCATCCAAAAAAAACCCCTGATGTATAGTCAGACAAGTTGAAAGGATGTTCCAGCAGTTAAAATAAATTGGGCTGTAACAGACCAAACCTCAGTGTAGCTGCTGTTTCAGGTGTGGCCAGAGAGGTTTTCTAAGACAATTAAACTTCAGAGTGCTAATTTCAAAACCGCAAGTAACACAAACTGAAGGAGCAAAGGCACTGGTAGAGTGCTACCAAAGGAAATTTTTAATATATGTGCAATATGACTTAAGCTATCAGAAATTTTGCTGCTTCTATTCTTTAATTGGATTTCCTACACCAGCTCTCAAACTCTCTCCCATCTCACCCTATGTCCTATGTTCAGAGGTCCTTGGCAGGGAACTCCAGGCGTGCTTTCTCAGCAGGGCACAACCAGCAGACTTCAGGAAGCTGCA